GAGAGTTTCCAAGGCTATCCGTCTTTCCTGGAGCAGGCAGCCTCACCTTTCCCGGAAGGAACAGCTGGTGGGTTTGTGCTGCCAACCTGGTAGGTATCAGTCCAACACTTGCCCAATAGCACAACGGTTCTCAACCTGTGGGTCACGACCCCTTTGGGTGTTGAAGCACCCTTTCACAGGGGTTACCCAATTCCTAACAGTAGCAAAATGACAGTGATGAAGTAGCAACAAAAATAAGTTTATGGTTGGGGGTCACCACAACATGAGGAACTGTATGAAAGGGTGGCGGCATGAGGAAGGTTGAAAACCATTGCATAGCGCTACCAGGGGGAAAAGAGCCCCCAAATTAAAAGATAATTGAGTCCTATTTATTTATTAACTATTAAACAGGACAATGACAAGACAAAGAAAAAAAAAAGTAAATCATCCAGATGAAGGATCCCATCAGCATGAAGCCATATGGTGTCAAGAAACCCCACAGCCAGTCAGCTGATTAAACAGGACATGGGAAAACAAAAGGAACTGTCCCCAAATCTTAACTGGTATCAGATGGATATAACAATGACAGGTGTTAGGCTGGAGAGCCTGGCCAGGAAGGGGTGGTGTATACCTAGGTGGGCGGTACACCGGGATTGGCCCATCTAAGCCAGGTGACTTTGATTCAGCCAATGGGGTCGGCCAATATTGTCAACCACGCTTCCCAAGGAGGCCCCTGAAAAGCCAGAAGTTTTGCCCTGATGCTCTCTCTTTCCCAGCGGCTGAGCCGCGGTCCCACGCACTTGTGCCGCTTCTGTTCTCTGTAAACTCACTTGGATCACAAACCTGGCTTCAGCGTGATTTCTTTCTCGCTCGGAGCCAAGGATGGAAGTGTAGCTCTCCCATGAGAGAGAGAGAGACAGAGAGAGAGAGAGAGAGAAAGAGAGAACAGAGGGACTACAGAAATAGGGAAGGGACAGTGCCTGCAATGCATAACCTATTGTTGAGGATTAGCGAACTTGAAAGAATTGGTTGTGAGGCCCTCCAGCCGTCTTGGTCCCACCATGACTCTGAACCACAAGACCGTAGGACCCCAGTTTCCACCAAGGGCATACTCAGGCAAGTTCCTGAGGGTGAGACTGGCTCTCCTGGGACTGGCCAAGAGAGTCCCAACAAACACACTCTGCCTGAGGGCAAAGCCCTTTCATTACCGACCTTAAATTCCCAGCACAAGGTTTATACAGTGGATTCCTAGTGGCAATGGGGGTTATGTGTTGGGCTGCTAACCACAAGGTCAGCAGTTGAAAACTACCATCCGCTCTGGAGGAGAAAGATGAGGCTTTTCTATTTCTGTACGTAATTACAGTTTTGGAAACCCACATAGACAACAATCCTACCCTGTCCTGTGGCTGACTGAGTTGAGAGCGAAGAGTTTGGTTATTTGGTTACCTGTGGGATTACATGAGTGGTTAAAAGGGGCACACTTGCAAGGACATGTGCTTTTCACTTTATCATGGAGTGGCTATGGGGCAATGGAAGGATAGTTTGGGGGGCACGTGTGTTATAAAAATTGCTTTTTCAACCATGTCTGTTTCGAAGGGTTGTCTGTAAAGATTTATCTATAATGCTGTACATTAAGACCTTTTACCAGCACAGGGAATCCAGGACAGATAAAACCCTCAGGACCAATGAGTGTAGCGATACCAGGAGAGGAAGGGGAAGGTGGCATAGAAAGGGGGAACCAATCACAGGGATCTACATATAAGCCCCTCCCTGGGGAAAGAAAACAGAAAAGTGGGTGAAAGGAGATGTCAGACAGTGTAAGACATTAAAAAATAAAATAATGTATAAATTATTAAGGGTTTGTGAGGAAGGT